AAAAAAAAAAAAAAGAAAGAAAGAAACTGCCTATATTAAAATAATGTAAGGCTATAAGACCCAAATAGTGATAAAAGTCTGATTTCTATAGACATATAGACATAGCTAGACATTAACCAGCCGTTGTTCCCTAACTTCCCTACTACTATAAATGCTCAATGCTTAGTGTCACGTATCCTTGACAGATGCAAGATTTGTGACTTTCCCAATTGCTTCTATAGATGACAATGCTATTGTAAAGCCTAAGACTGGTCTTTGAGATGTCTTCCAGACTCTGCATTTGGGGGTGTTGGGGGGACCAACTGACATCAACCAGACCAGTGAACTGATCCCAACAAGTCCTGTGGCCCAGGAGCTCCTGCTTACCAAGAAGATAATTTCTGTTTCCCAATCCCATAAGTTTATCCCCAGCTGATCAGCAGACCCTAGCCCTTTGTTAATCAAATCTCCCTTAGAAATCTTGGCCTCAAATTCTCAAGGAGATGGATTTGAGAAATTACTTCCATCTTCTCACCTGGTGCCTTGTGATATCAAACTCTTTCTCTGCTGCAACTCCTGCTGTCTCGGCATATTGGCCTTTACCTGGGCAGCGGGCAAGGGACCCACACAGGCAGTAACTAACTCTGTCATACATCTTACATATCACAGATCAGAGCGTAGACCACTTTGATGAAGATGGGGCTCACTTCCTGGATCTGAACTCGATCCCAGAGTGAATAAAACATGATACCCTCCAAGAACTTTTTTCTATACTTTTCCCTTTACCCCCAATTGTCATATATGGTTTTGCCTTTGAAAGTCTCTCATTAGGTCCCCAAGACCACTTTAATTTTTTTTATAGCCCCCATAGACATTTTATTTACTTATTTATTTACTGGAGACAGAGTCTGACTTTGTCACCCTCAGTAGAGTGCTATGACATCATAGCTCATAGCAACCTCAAATTCTTGGGCTCAAGGGCTCCTCTTGCCTCAGCCTCCCTAGTGGCTGGGACTACAGGTGTCTGCCACAACACCTGGCTATTTTTTTTTTTAAAGAGACAGGGTCTTGCTCTTGCTCAGGTTGGTCTCAAACTTGTGAGCTCAAACAATCCACTCACCTCAGCCCCCCAGAGTGCTGGGATTACAGGCATGAGCCACCATGCCTGGCTTCATTTTTTTATTATTATGAATAAGTAACTTGGTTACCAACATGCCAGTCAGCAGCCCCCATCCCACCCCAGCACACTCGGGGGAAAGCTGACCATGATCAAGAGTCCTGATCTCCCTAGACTTAATATCACTTAAGCCTGTCCCATCTGTCTGCTGTTAACCTCTTAGAGATGATAGACTCAAAGCCAAAGAACAGCCCTTTAATCTGAGGAAACAAATAGATAACTCGTTTGCATAATTTTTCCTTGCCTGTTTTTCTGTTCCACATATAATTTTGCATACAAGCGTATCATTTGTGTTTTTGCTATTTCCACTTTTCATTTTTTCACTTTTTGTCCAGGGCTGGGTTTGAACACGCCGCCTCCAGTATATAGGGCCGGCATCCTACTCCTCTGAGCCACAGGCACTGCCCAGTGGTTGCCAATTTTTTCATTATTCCCTCCTTCCTTTCCTCATCTTCCTCCCCTCTACTACCAGCCATTGCCCCACCAACACACACAAGCCAGTTGACCAACCAGCTATGCATTCTCCCACATGTTTCTCTGTGTTTACAAATCCTGTATAGAGACTTGGGGGAGGGTGTCATTTTTGCTTTGTAAAAGTGAGAACATATTATATATAATTTCCTGCATCCTCTTCTCATTCAATAATACCATGTGCCCATCTCTCCAAATCAACTGATTTAGATTTAATTCATTCTTTTTGATGACAAAATAATAATGCACGATGCTGATACACACATAGGCGATAAATTATTCAGCCACGGGCTTTGTTTCCTGCTTTTCATGACAATGAATAATGTTGCAACAGCATCCATGTACACATGTCTGTGTGAACTAGTGGTTTTATCTCTGCAGGATAGATTCCCAGGCATGAGCTTGCTGAGTCAAAAGGCATATGAATTTTTAATTTTAACAAATATTATCTTCAACAACAATTGCTCACTTCCTTTGGGTCATCCTTTTTTCGCCCTAGTTCCCTATAATTCTACTCTTCCCCCACTTTCCTGCTATATCCTTTCTCTCTTCTCTTTTCTGTAATTAAAAGGCTGAAATGTTCATTTTAATCTAATCTTAGAGGCTAAAATGTAAGTTATTATGCTAATCTGAGAAGATACAATACATACCACAATATTAAAAAACTCCATTGTTCTAAAAGACAAAAACAAAGGAACTGTCTTCTATAATTAAGAATGTGACTATCCGGGTAAACTGACACCTACTTTTCTCCTTTCTATGTTTACTCAAGATATACTTCAAAGCACTATGGCAACTGACTATTATCAGTAGAAAACTGCAACCCCCTGCCAGTGTTTCCCAGGTGATTCATTCTTTTTTTATTTTTTTGACAGTTTTTGACCAGGCCGGGTTTAAACCTGCCACCTCAGGTATATGGGGCCGATGCCCTACTCCTTGAACCACAGGCGCCACCACCCAGGTGATTCATAATATGATACTACTTTCCTGGGGCAT